CCAAATCTAAGAGTTATTTTAGTATTTATATACTATTATAGCATTTATTAATATTTGGGAATATATTCTATTTTAAGATGTCAGGTTTTTATTTTAATTTTAGTAATTTCATTATGTGCTTTTGTCATTTTTTATTTAGCTATAATTGATTTTTTTTTTTTTTTTTTAGATAGAATAGTGGCAAATTTAAATATTAGTCATTTATCGGTTATTGACCTTAACATGGGAAAAATATGTATATCGGCTTATCAGTATCGACTGATTGATTTTTGTTTTTTTGTGTTTTATTTTTCACTTATTTAGACAAAAATAGCATAGAATTTTTATATTAGCCATTTATCAGTTATCTGCCTTAACATGAATAAAAAAAAAAAATTAAAAAAAAAAATATATATATATATCGGTTTATCAGTATCGCTCGATTTATTTTAGTTTTTTTTTTTCACTTCTTGAGACAAAATAGCATTGAATTTTATTATAAGCCATTTATCGGTTATTGGCCTTAAAATGAAAAAAAAATTATCGGTTCATTGGTATTGACCAACTGATTTTAGCCTTTAGTGTTTTTATTTATTTAGACAAAATAGCATATAATTTTTACATCTTCCAAAAAAAAAAATAAAATAGCTTATCAGTACCGGCCATAATGTTAATGTTAGTGCATTCCTATAAACTACATAACATTGTGAGATGTGCTGTTTCTCAGCACTGCATTCTGTACATATACTCTGTACATATACGCCTTCACTAATCTGTGGCCCAGCACTGTGGCCTGGATGAGCTGAGGTCTCCTGTAACAGAAGGAGGTAGTTCAGAGAGGTTTTGTAGGCAGGAGAATAGCCGTCCATTGTGTGTTGCACCATGTTCTGTGTTTGAGCAGACAATGCATGCCTCAGGTCAGCTGCCTGAGCTCTGCTACAGTAGCGCATTGTTTGCATGATCCACATCTCACTCTGGAGACAGTAGACCTCTCAGCTCTTGATGGTGACTCAGGGGCATCTGTACACACTTGCGACAGTGTCTGCTGATCACACCTCTGCTGCCGCCCGCTGAAAACCTCAGTCATTCCGCTTGTCTGTGAACTCATCTATCTTTCTCGAAGACAAGCCTTGTTTCTAGCTTTCGGCGTCAACTTTGGCATATCTTTGAGGGAAAATGATGGGGTTTAGTGGCTGTTGTGAACCTCAGGTTAGGCGTGTTGATTGGCGACCCAGCTGTTTGAGTGGTATGTTTTCCCAGCGCCCCCCTCCTCGTGATATGTGGAGGTTTTTATCATCCTCTCTGTACGGCTGGGAAAGGCGCGGGGAGGGGAATGTGTCAGAGAATGTTTGGGAGCCTCACTTTTCTTTAGTGGTGTCAGTCAGCAGGGCCGTGGCCTCCACACTGAATCAATATGGCTTTTGTTGGAGGAGAAAAAGCTTCTTTACAGGCTGGGATCTTGGAGTGAAGCAGGGTGCTGCAGAATAACAAGGGAATAAACATCCCGACACAAGGTTTCAACATTCCCAAACAGGACCAATGTGACACATTTTAGCAGCATTCAAGTTCATTTTCAATCCTCAGATCTTTTTGGCCATCCATAATTTTGATGCAGTCACAGCACTGTCATGCTCCTACAAACCACTCAACGTGACCAAATAGGTTGGTTCACTTGGGGTTGTTCATTGATTTCATGCTTATTTGGCCTGTTTTATCATTATAATGTCTGATCGTGGGTTTCATGTCAATAATCCCAGCTGTGCACTTGCTATAATAACTGTCAGACATCTCATATACTCCAGACCCCATTGCAAAGACTCCATCCATTTATCCATCCATCTACCACTCAACTGACCGTGACAGTCACAAATGGGACCATTTTACTGTTTTCAACTTTATATTTGACTTTCGTATGTTTTCATCTCTCATATGCTTGATTTTTAGTGTTTATTTCTTCTTCATGTGACTGAAGAGTAACTGACGTGTGGCAGGCTGAGGTCTGCCCGTGTCATTGTGGTGGCATTACTGATGGGAAAGATCTCCATTAGTTTATAAAAATGCATGTGACCCAGACAGCCTCTAATTAGGCCTGTGTGTATCAGAGCCCAGACTGCCATCAGCAATATCTGCTGGTGGAATAATCAGGAGGAAAGTCGCTCCAAGTGTGTCAGTAAATTTATATTTTAATAACTATCTATGAAGTTTGGAGTAAAAATGCAATAATTCTTAGCTGATTTATTAAACATCTGCTAGAACTGACTTGCAGTACATTAAAAGTAATGTGTTTAGGTTTGAAGATTTGTTTTAGACTAGTACATGCTTCCAAATTCTCTTCTGTTGTTCAAAAGTATAGGTTTGTTTGTTTGTTTTCTCTTATGCTTCTTATGCTCTTATGCTTCTTCTAATGTTTCTTATGCTCACCAAGACTACATTTATTTGATAAAAAATTTAATAAAAACAGTAATATGGTTACAATGTTACAATTTAAAATAATTTTAAAATATTCTTTTTTTAAAATGCAATTTATTCCTGTGATGGAAAAGCTGAATTTTTAGCATCATTACTCCAGTCTTCAGTGTCACATGATCCTTCAGAAATCATTCTAATATGCTGATTTGCTGCTTAAGAAACATTTCTTATTATTATGTTGAAAGCAGTTGTGATGCTTAACAAATTCTCACTATTATCTAACTAATAACTAGTTTTGCCACAATTAACTCCTAATTTGCTGCTTATTAATAGTTAGTAAGGTAGTTGTTAAGTTTAGGTATGGGGTAGGATTAAAGGATCTAAAATATGGTCATGCATGAATAAGGCATTAATATGTGCTTTAATAAACAAGCAAAATATACTAGTAAAATGCACGTTAATATGCAACTAGTTAATAGTAAGAATTGGTCCTTAAAAATGTGTAACTTGTGTTACCTAAAAATGTATTATCAGATAACCAGTGTTTTGTCACATATTATGAAATATGATTTCATATCGTTGAATCAACTTGACTATATTTAGCTACGTCAACAAAAGTAACTTTTAAGAGTAAGAGTGGATAAAAAGCTCCTTAAGGTAGTAGTATTGACTTTTCATCAGGGTTGTTTTTGATAAGTGAAGTTATTTTTTAGTAAAAGGACAGTTATAAGCTCAGGTATGAGTGAACATTGGAAGCCTCTGTGATATTTGTGTTTTTTTATACTGGGAATGCATGTGTGTGCAGCCAGTTTGCAGTGCATTGCTGTTACTAAACAGTAGTTGGATGTTTACGGGACGTGCAGAGCTCAGCGCACCAGCGGGCTGGTGAACTTTCTCTGTGCCCTGCTGTGCCAGGCTGATGGGCTGATGCTGAGCAATGTGATGCCTGCTTTTCAAACACAGAATACATGATTCATCACAATCCCTTTGTTTCTCTCTCTCTCTCTCTCTCTCTCTCTCTCTGTAGGTGACATCACACAGAAAGGCTATGAAAAGAAAAGAGGGAAATTATTAGCGCCCTACATACCCCAGATACAAGGTAAACAACTCACTCTTATTGACTGTAAATCTGTCTAATGAACTATTTTAGCACACGGTGCATGTCTAGGTTAGAAAATCTTCACTCATCACCTCTTCAATCTTCGTGAGAGGTCTGCATTTTACTGCGGTCTGGACTGATCGGAAATACATGCATGGTTTCAGTACTGTCAAGGATACTCTGAGCTAGTGGAAACAATGTGTGTCTCTCTGTGGAATAGGAGTTATCCACGCTATAAAACTACAATCTAAATGCAGGGCTCAAACTGCCCCAAACTCTCAATTATGTGGTGTGTGTGTCTTTGTTGTTTGGTTTAGGGTGGCTAGCAACAGCCCATATATCCAGACATGATATCTCTCTTCATATTCAGAAAATAGATGTGACAGTTATTTATGGTTCCTTGCTCTTTTCACATCTAAAATGTAAGAAATTCTTCCCTTTTCAGTGTTTTTTTTTCCTCCGATGTTTTATTGGAAACATCAGAATGAAAATGGGATACTGTAGTTCACCAAAAAAATTAAAATTGTCATTATTTACTCATATTCTCCAAACTAAAAAAAAAAGGATAAAGGATATTTAGTAGAATGTTCACGCTGCTTGTTTCCATAAAATGAAAGTGAATTGGGACTGGAGTTGATGAGGGAAAAAAAAACATCATAAAAGTATCAAAACATTTTATGATTTTTCCAAGTATTCTGTAGTTATACTATAGACCAATTTAGAGTAGACGTCACAGTTACGTCACTTGCAGCTGCGCGCGTTTTTTCAGTTTTCATTCCAGTAATTTTAGTACTTCAATATTTCTCATCTTTGGTTACATTTAAGTTTTTTTTATTAATATTTACTGTAGGCTATATGTATATTCCAGCTTTAGTTCAGTTGCCAAAAAATATTTTTATTAGTTTTACAGTAGTTGACAGTAATAGCACTGGTGGGAAAAGCCAGAGAACTGCAACATAAGAAGAGGTTACAGGTTACTTTATCTCCCCCATCCCAGATCAATGGCATCTCTCTTGGTGATTTTGTTCACACGTGATGGTCAATATTTAGACTGCCCATGTGTGTCCTAACAACCCCCTCAGGGCTCTCTCTCCCTCACTGGATGCTATATGACAAGCTCAATCTATATTCCTTGTGTATGTTTAATTTTGGAATGGCCCTGCATAAATATGTTATGATAGCTGCGGTGGCTTGTGGAAAAGGGAACGTCTGTCTGGGCCCCTCTCAATATTTTTGGTTTGGCTTTGATACAGGAAATTAGGACTTCATTTTAAATTAGCCTTGCAGCAGAGATGGCTCTCCACTGTGGGGTTTGTCTTTGTCGTTTTCTAAGCTGGCTGACAGACCACCATACTTTGTCCCATGATCCCCTGAGAAAACCTAAGAACTCTTTGTGTCCTGAAACAGACATGCGACTCTATCATTTGAAAAAGAATTACACTTTAGCATACTTTTAAAAACAGTATACTTACTACAGAAATAATATACTTTAAAAGAATATACTTACTGTGTGAAATGAATGCTATATTTCTGGACACTTAATTGCATATTAATTGCAATTAAATGAAAATGTATTATAGTTTAAATTTATATTAAATGCAATTAGCTGAACTTCCCTTTTCAGTGTTTTTTTTTCCTCCGATGTTTTATTGGAAACATCAGAATGAAAATGGGATACTGTAGTTCACCAAAAAAATTAAAATTGTCATTATTTACTCATATTCTCCAAACTAAAAAAAAAAGGATAAAGGATATTTAGTAGAATGTTCACGCTGCTTGTTTCCATAAAATGAAAGTGAATTGGAACTGGAGTTGATGAGAAAAAAAAAAACATCATAAAAGTATCAAAAAAGTTTATGATTTTTCCTAGTATTCTGTAGTTATGCAATAGCTTTGTGAGAGGAATAGACTGGAATTGTATTGTTATTTGAAGAAAAACTTGCTTTCCATCATTGGTGTAAAATCTCATTAAAGTTTGCATGCAAGTCTTTTCATCAGTGCTGTTGTTGATTCTGTGTCCTGACACATGTGATTTTATTAATATTTATATTTGAGCTTTTTTCAGTTTTCATTCCAGTAATTTTAGTACTTCAATATTTCTCATCTTTGGCTACATTTAAGTTTTTTTTTATTAATATTTACTGTAGGCCATATGTATATTCCAGCTTTAGTTCAGTTGCCAAAAAACTTTTAATATAGTTTTACAGTAGTTGACAGTAATAGCACTGGTGGGAAAAGCCAGAGAACTGCAACATAAGAAGAGGTTACAGGTTACTTTATCTCCCCCATCCCAGATCAATGGCATCTCTCTTGGTGATTTTGTTCACACGTGATGGTCAATATTTAGACTGCCCATGTGTGTCCTAACAACCCCCTCAGGGCTCTCTCTCCCTCTCTGGATGCTATATGACAAGCTCAATCTATATTCCTTGTGTATGTTTAATTTTGGAATGGCCCTGCATAAATATGTTATGATAGCTGCGGTGGCTTGTGGAAAAGGGAACGTCTGTCTGGGCCCCTCTCAATATTTTTGGTTTGGCTTTGATACAGGAAATTAGGACTTCATTTTAAATTAGCCTTGCAGCAGAGATGGCTCTCCACTGTAGGGTTTGTCTTTGTCCTTTTCTATGCTGGCTGACAGACCACCATACTTTGTCCCATGATCCCCTGAGAAAACCTAAGAACTCTTTGTGTCCTGAAACAGACATGCGACTCTATCATTTGAAAAAGAATTACACTTTAGCATACTTTTAAAAACAGTATACTTACTACAGAAATAATATACTTTAAAAGAATATACTTACTGTGTGAAATGAATGCTATATTTCTGGACACTTAATTGCATATTAATTGCAATTAAATGAAAATGTATTATAGTTTAAATTTATATTAAATGCAATTAGCTGAACTTCAGGGTGATTACCTCAGACCAAAGAAGAAAACGGCACACCATTTGTGCTGGAAAGTTCTATTACAAGTATTGTACTCATGCACTAGGGATGAACAAATCTTAAGAAGCTAAGCTATTTCTTATGTAAGCAACATCAGTTATTAACAAAGCCCGTTTCTGTTGCTCAGTTCAGTTCTTCATTTGCCCAAATCTCAAATCGACCTTTTTTACGTAACCAATTAAAGCTGATTACAATCAAGACTCCAAATGAGACCTCATTAAGGCTGGCAGATCTCCTAAAAAGCTTCTAATTGTTACATTGTGGCATCTTCTGAAACATTGTGTCCAGATCTGACTAGTAACAATCGTTTGAAAGCAGGAATGTAACTAGGAAAGCATAGTTATCAGCCAACTGTGGAGGGACATTTTTTTGCGTAGCAACTGGACAGAGCTACTTGTAGCATTTATGGCCCTGTTATCGTTGCACATAGTTGAGCTTTTGTGAAGCCGTACGCTATCAGGACATTGTATCAGTGGTTCTGGACAGGCCGTGCATTTTAGCTCTTATGAACCGGAGTCCCTCATTTCTTCTGATGTTGCGGACTGTGCCTTATCGTCCTTAAACAACTTTTGCCATTCATAAGCTTTTGTTGAGTTAAGCAGGATTGGAGGTTTTGAGGTGGAGTGTTTCCCAGAACGAGAGCCAAATAAAGTGAACATGTCCTGTTCAGTCCTCACAGGCCCCCAAACTGAAAGAAACAGCAGGACTCTTAGCATTATAATGCTGTTACTGTGCAGTTATTGGAAAGACCTAAAGCAGTTATGATGGGCTTAATAAAGAATGAAATGAGAGACATTTTTATAAGACATACTAAAAGAAATAACTATCATGTTTGCAGTAATCTGCAATGGAAGTCTATGGGGAAAAGGCAATCCAGAGGGTTTAAAAGCAGAAATGAGCTTGATTTTTTTAAAGCACTTATATTAAATCTTCCATTCACAAATGCGTGGTGTTTGAGCTGTAAAGCTGTCTGAATTGTGATTTTAGTGGTGGAACTGCTGTTCTAAATACTGTAGTTGAACTCATGCTAAAGTCATGTGTCTGTACACTGTTTGGGGTAGGTAATATTTTTTTATAGGTTTTGAAATAAGTCTCTTATGCTCACCAAGGCTGCATTTATATGATAAAAAATGCAATAAAAACAGTAATATTATGAAATATTATTACAATTCTATTTGAATATATTTTAAAATATAATTTATTCCTGTGATGCAAAGCTGAATTTTCAGCATCATTACTCCAGACTTCAATGTCACATGATTCTTCAGAAATCCTAATGATATGATACTTAAGAAACATTTCTTATTGTTATTAATGTTGAAAATAGCTATGCTGCTTAGTATTTATTTATCATGGTTGGGATCCATGATACATTTCTCCCCAGAATTTTTTTAATAAATAGAAAGAACAGAATTTATTAATTCATTTTTTCATTCATCCATTCATTCATTCATTCATTTAGATTGAAATGGAAATCTTTTGTAATAATTTAAAAGTCTTTACTGTCACTGTTGTTCAGTTGAATGCATCCTTGTCAGAAAAAGTGATAAAAAAATTCTTACTGACTCCAAACTTTAGAAATTTGGTTTACTTTTGAAACACTATGTACTTTAACATTTACTTTAGTGCAATGTCTTGCCCTATAGACTTCAATTGTAAGTGTATTACTGTAAACACTATTTTTATGAAAAAAAGTCTGTGATAATCAACAGCATACACGGAACTTACTAGAACATCCCTTAAATTATTTTAAAAATCATTATCATTTTTAAAAAATCATTAAGTCACTATTCACCAAACCAGGATTAACACATAACGTAGTGCAGAATAATCTACTAATCCTAAACTAGTCCTACAGTTGGCATCGCCTGTGTTTGTACGTCTTTGTGATTTTTGGTTAAATATGTGACCTCTCCTGAGCTCAGTTCGGTTGTTTAGGGATATTAGCCCTCATTGAGAAAATCCCTAATGAATGCTTCACCATGTCAACACAGTCAGCTGAAGTTCCTTTCAATGATTCTGGGGGTCAGAGGTCAATATGAAGTGGTTGCTAGGCAAACGGTTTGGGAGGAGGTAAACAATCCTGTATCGCCTGCTTTTGCTTTCCAGGAAAAAAGGATAATAGGTCACTACTTGTCTTAACCTGTGATAGATGTTCCCCCATGTCACAAAGTTTCACGAAGAATAGATTGTTTGGTTTTATTTAGGTCCGAGGCATGACTATGCTTTTTCTTAAAATGTCCTTCATCTGTCCCTGTGTTTGTTATAAATGAATCCTGAGCTATTTTTAGCATTCATTGGTCTCTTCCTGGTGTGATAGATGGAGGGGTCACTAGACCTGAGATCAGAGCATAAGCCTCTTTGATTTCTCATTTTTGCTGCGGCAGCTACAGCTGTGATGGGTCTTATGTAACCGCAGCGCTGCATGACTCACCAGTCTTAACCTTGTACAAGGTGGAGATTTCTCCAAATTCACAGAAACTAAATGCAGGGGTGACACATAATTTATCATCACTTATTCTCAATTTGATTCCATCCTCAATAGGCTGGGATTATTACATACATGTGCCATATTCAGGTGTGTAAATTAAACAAAACTGAAACTTTGTCCACTAAACATTTTGTCATTAAAATAATGACAAAATGTAATTAGCAATTGTATGCAGAGGTAATTATTTTTTAATTTGATTTAATTTTTTTTATATTCCATTTTCATTTTAATTCTAGTTAAAGTTTAAGTAATTTTGTTGTGTTATTTTGATACACCAAGTTAAACTAAATGAAAATGAGAAATATTGCCTTAAAGGGGTCATATGATGCGATTTCAATTTTTCCTTTCTCTTTGGAGTGTTCTGAAATATCTGAAATCTCTATAATCTATTTTATTCAAGTTAACACTTATGTATTTTAGTGCTGTCAATCGATTGAAAAAATTAACTAATTAATCACATTTTTTCTTGATTCTTTGATTAATCCCACCTAACATTAAAGTTTTTAAATGTACTTTTATATTACAAAAATTGTATATTCAATCTTCAAATTAATGTAGAAACAACATAAAAACAGTATATTTTTTATATTTGTTTAATAGCATCTTTTTTATGACTGAAGGCAAGCATCACTGATACCAAG